CAGAAATTGATTTTATGCATATTCTCGTAACTATGGGTCTATCTGGTTTCCTTTGAAGGATATAAAAAGGGGTTATGTGGGGATTACCGCCAAAAGTAACGAATAATAATAGTCTTCTATAGTGAGATTTGTTACCATATATCAATCCAGAAATCCAAATTGCTTCGAATTCGGTTGAAAAACACGCTCAAACCCCCCAAAATACCAAAATTGGAGGTACCTACACCTAAACGGAGACCCATATTCATCATTTTTGTTAGAGAGACATAATTTGTAATAAGAACCCTAAATACCAAATTAGAGCTAATTCCGTTGAATTATTGCGATGAGTTACAAACGGAAACCCGAGTTTAATATACTCCCCATACTATGATGAATGATATAAAAACAGGGAAATCTATAAAAAATGCATTAAGGGAACCCACCCCATTCTCGATTTTTTATTTTTAAAATTTTAAATGGGCTGGTAAATGAATACCAATGATTGTTAAGGTTTGTAACTTTGCACAAAAAATTTTTGTTGTTTTGTTGTTGTTTTTGGTGATCAAAGAAAAGTCCTTATTTTTGATGGCGGGCATGATAACTCCTCACTGGAACATCGGAATCCGAAAACTCCAACGGTGTTAGAAAGAGTACATGTCTCGTATGAGCTAGGATTATTGACTTCGCACAATAATTAACAAAATGGCTGAACTTCATTTTTTTTTTTTTTTTTTTTGGAAAATCGCCTATTTTTACCACAAACTAAGTTAAAAAATAAGGAAGTTCTTCACCGATTGGCTTTATCCTAGTTCATACGAGATCTATACACTCCCAGAGAAACGTGTCAAAATTTGGAACCGATTGGATTATTAGTTTTTGAGTTATCGTGCCCGCCATTCGCAAAAGAGAAAAACGGGTTTAAAGTTTGAGAAGCCCTTTAGTCGTCACTTGTGTTTGTATGTCGGCATATTATATATGTGCATGCTATTTTCTTTGGGTTTTCTTGAGAAAACTATTATATCATTAGCATATAGGCAATGCCAGCAAAAGGTAAACTAAAGTCGAAGATTTTTTCTTTAAAAAGAGAAAAATCCTTCGCGAGTAAAGTATATGCCAAATTTTGACATTTTGAAAGTGCAATAATAGAGCTTGATGCCTCTTATTCATATAAATAATATTAAAAGTTCAAAATATATTTGAAGTCGCGTGAGTGGCTGCTCTTTTGAGTATGTATTTCTATTTTTTTATTGCTGATAGTTCGCATAAAGTTTTACAAAAAGTATTGAGGGAGAATTTTTCCCATAATTAGCAATTATGTCTAAAGTCATGTAAATGAATATACAAATATATTCTCATATCCATCTAATGATATATTTTCTGTTTTTCAGATAAATGTTCTGCATGGGTAAACGTATGTAAATTTTTAGTTTATTTACCCAGAAAAAAATAAAAATATTCACCCACATTTTTTGAGTTTGAAATTGTATGTTTACTTTTTTAGGTAATTGTATACTATTTAGACAGACAGACATACATTTAATGATGAATGATAAAATTAATGTATCTTCCATCCTATATATCCTGTGAATATTATTCTATTTCAAATAAATTTATTAAAAATATTAGTTTGTTACTTTAATTAAAACAAGACTGTCCACACAGTTTTTGCGATTGTATTTGTTTGTTTTTTTGTTACATTTGTTACAGTTTTTGCGATTGTATTTGTTTCAAATGCACACTTTTCAAATTTTGTGTTTCTCTGTCATTAAACACTGAAATATTTTAAAAAGTGCATTTAAAATTATAAATGAGGAAGAACAACTTTTTGTATTCAATCCAAATTTGCTTAATAATGATAAATTTTCCCCTATAAAGATTGAGGTGCTTTTGTTTCGCCTATCTCTATAATATTGGCCACATATTTCGACTTTTTCTGAACCAATTTTTGCCAAAAATATCTTCATTTTTTCGTTCACATATTAAAAAGGAATAAAGGAGGTCATTGGGATAAAATCGGGCGAAATTAAATGTGATATCTAAATAGATATTTGAAACAATTGGAAAAAAATCCATACACTTGCCATTCCGAAATCAATGAAAAATTGCATGTCAAACGGTCAGACTTGAATTCTTTGGTGTACCATTTGTATGAAATCGAGTAAAATTATGTATGGGAGCTATATGTAAACACATAGATCTAATTGAGAAACCGTTGCATACACCATTTGTTTTTTTTATCACTCTATATTCGATTAAATAGCCTCTGCCAAATGTCGTGTAAATCGAACAAACATAGGCTCTTCAGTGCACCATTAACATAAAATCAAAAAATCGGACGAATCTATATATGGGAGCTATATCTAAATTTGAACCGATTTTAACATAACTTAGTATACATCATTCTGGACATAATTTAGTGCGATGAGCAAAATTTTGTCCCAATCGGACAAATATTGGGAGTTTGGTGCATCATTCTCATAAAATCGGACAAAACTATATATGGGAGCTATATCTAAATCTGAACCGATTTTAACAGAATTTGGCAGACATCTGTCTGCACCTAATTCAGTACTCGGTGCAGAATTGTGTCCTAATCGAGCAAATATTGGGAGTTTAGTGTATCATTCACATAAAATACATATACATATTCTCAAAAGGAACCATGGGCCTTTCTCGATTCCATTTGCCTGTTGCCTGTTACAAACATATCCACAAAGACATAATACCCTGTACCGCAGAGTGGTGAAAAGTATAAAAAACAACATTATGTCAATTTATTTTTTCATTTACCAGACGGTTGAAAACTAACATTTAATCAAAATTTATATGTGAATGTTTATAATAGGGATTCTGTACGGATCGGATTAAAATGGAAAAGGACAATAAAAATATTGATTGCATTTCTTTGAGGATGCTATATAGAATCTAACAGTCCACTTTTTTGTTAAATTTGAATCTCAAAAATCTTGTCTTGTGTACCGTTCAAGAAAATAAGAGCGAAGAAAACGCATAAGGACTCTAGGTAGGCGGACGAGACAATAACCTGCATTAGTCGCAAACAAACTATTTATTACATCATAACTCAAAACGTTGGCTTGCGGCGAATTTGCTTTTCAGGATTCTATTCGCAAGAACTTTCATCCACAAAATAAATTGTAATCTTATTTAGATATAGCTAACGAAATTGCAGAGGAGGTCCAATGTTTGTTCAATTGAAACACAATTTTGTGCAGCGTTCCTGAAATGACGTGTGTTTTGTTCCAAAAGGTTCAAATTTTTATATAAAAATTTTCCCAAAATATTTACATAGAATTTATAGATATGAGAGTGTAATGGCCCCCACACACTATACTGCCGATGAACCGCTGTGTACGTGAGTGCTTCAAGAGTGTATAGACGACTCCTCAATCAAAATTACAAAGTCATGCTTTTTTCTTTATAGAGGATTCGCAATTCTAACTGGTCCCAATAGCCATAAAAAATCTTAATTTTGCCAGTATCAATTGGATTATGTATTGAACATAAAGAAGTAAAAGTCGTAAATGCTAAATAATATTTTCATTACACAATTCTTTTTTGTTGTAATTTTAGTTTTTTTTTTCTTTTTGGCTTTTCAAAACAATTAGGAAAAATGTAATTAATTTACATACACACAAATTGCGTCTAATTATTACAACTTGTTACTGCATACAAATACATTTTTTGTAGCAATCATCCTGATGGAAAATTGTTTTACATTCAATGAGAAATGTCAATGAATTCGAATTGTGGAAAGGGGCCGTTCATTGACTTCACTTTCCAGCATATTTCATACTCTTGGGCAGACTTAGAAGTGAATTTATTAATTCAGAGTTCCTTTTCGGCATGGGAGCAGACCAGGTTTTGTCTGGATAATAACTACAGGGATTATTCAGGGCTTGAATACTGCGTGCCGACGTTAGCCAATTGTTAAACAATTCCCGATTTAACTGTTTATAGAGATAATAAACTCGAAATGTAAAGTGCAATTAGTTTAATGACAAATAATTACCTGTTTTTCAAAATAGCGGCCATTTTCTTGAGCAGGCAAAGCAGCAGAGAATTTCCACAGGAACACTGCAAGGCACATTAGTAAACAAGTGAAGCACTTTATATTAGCCATTTTAGTTAGATATCTTTAACACCGAATATATATTCGTAGTTTTAAATGAATCCGATGTCTGATATGTTGGTAGATGAAACCTCTTCGTTTTATATCATTCAATTTCCTGTTTTCCAGGGAATAATGTCACTTGCGAATCTCGCTCGTTATTTGCAGGCTATAAACTTTATGTCAATATTTGATAACAAGAAAACAATCGCATTTTTATGTTATTGACTTGACCCAAAATGGATAAATAAAGAACAATACAGATAAATTTTGTAACATTTTGTGTAAATATTTTTTGTCGTCAATACACTTTCAAGGGGTGAGAGAATTCATACGAAACATTTTGGATATGCAATAATATAAATAAAAATTCTTAAGGAGATACTTTAGTAATATGAGTATTGAATAGTCAGTAAAGATGGTTTTAAGGTCTGCTGGACCAATTATTTTCTAATTTCCTCCATAATGGAGAAAGTCTTGAAGAGTATCTAGTCATATTTATCGATCGAAAATAATGTATTTCGGTTCTAATACTAAATTTGTTTAAGCCAACATTACTTCTTGCCTTGTATACTACTTGAGGACAAGGTGAAAGCGCATGCAGTCAAATAAAAACAAATATGAACAATAACATGTATAGAAAAAATATCAATTATTAATATTCCAAATACATATTGGTTTATTTGTGAATCATTCTTTCTAAATATGGATCAAGTTCGAAAATTGAGGCTGTCGACCAACTACTTTGGTATCCCCACACACATTTGGTATAAACTCGGACGAAACTAAATCTAAATATGGACCGATTTCCAGAATAAGGTTCGTTCCTCTATTCTATGCACATCCTTAAAAGTAATTATGGGCCTATCTCGATACCATTGTCATGCTACATACCAACCAAATTACTTTTTAAATAATATTAGTTTCGCAACAAAAACAATTATAATTCCACTAGAATTCTCCAAAAGTCTTCATATAGAGGAGTATTGTAACAAACTCCCAGATTTGTGGAGAATATGCCAAACCACAATAAAAGTGTAAAACATTAAAAGTTAAAAATATAAAAATCGCATAATATTTTCATTTTTTATAAGTGCAGAAGCGTTCGAATTGAGTTGTTATACCCCTCACCACACTGTGGCACAGGGTATTATGTCTTTGTGCATATGTTTGTAACAGGCAAAAGGAAACGAAATAGGCAGATGGTTCCTTTTGAGAATATACATAGAATCACTTTCTGAATCGATTTATGCATGTCCGTCCGTCTGTCTGTCCAAGTTAAATAGTAAACAAAGTACAGGTTTATGATCCGAATTGGATGAAATTTGGCACATGGTACGCAGACGACTTTAAATATGCCCGAATGAAAATAAATTTATCACAGGTTGCAGAAAGACATGAGTACGTTCCATCGAAGGATCATTGGCATGGAAGTATGAGGATACATATGTACAATATACCCAAAGGGTCGACCCTGTCCGATTTTATTACTTTCCTTACTGGTTTTATTTTGTGCATGTGACTGGAATAATTCACACAGTATTAAATTATGACAATGATGAATGCCAATAACTTTTTATTGTATCTAAAATACCGGTTGTCGTTGTAGGTATCAAATGATCAGTACTGACCGAAAATATATATATTAAGTTGTTAATATAAATGTTAACACATGTCAGCATACTGTAACATGAATTTTAACATTGGCACACACAGCGTATTTGACCGATTTTGGATGATTTATTAAAACTAGATTGCCGAAAGCGTTCATTCTGACCGTTTTTCAATTTCAAGTACAAAAAAAAACTGTGTATGTAATGACACAGTTTTTTAAAATTTGGTGACATTGTATAATAAACGAAATTCTATGTGGTACAAAAATTCACCAATTTTTTTTTAAAAAAAGTGTCATTATATGCACAGTTGTTTTTGTCCTTGTACTTTTGTACGGATAATACTTGAGTTCGATTTTTTGGTATGACAAAGTAAAATTATTTTTAAAATGTCACTTTTCTTTAAAATGTTTTGTGAATTTATCTGGCATGACTTTCTTTGAGTTGTATGTCTTTTAGGTCGAGAGATCATTGATGTGCAGTATTTTATATGATTTGTTTAAGACGATCCCCCAATCTGTAATCTATATACAAAAATGGAGCAAAAAATGTATACTAACGCATCAATTGAGATAGATTTGACTTAAAATTTCTTTCAGTTGTCGGTAATTACAGTGAAATCCACTGTAATTAAAAATCCGCGAAAATCTTGCAAAAATTATATTAAAGAAACGGCTGGACCGATTTGACTTAAGATTGCTCGAAATTAATAAAATGGCGGACATATGAAATGTAATGTTTGAAAAAATTCCCTATTTTCAACAACAATCCGAATTAGAATATAAGGAACATCTATTTTTTATTTGATACCTATTTCCAATGATATGTTTGTCATTTGCAATTTCGTAATCTAAAGTCAATAAGTCATTATTTGATTACATCCACTTTCTGTGCAAGAATGTAGCGGTGTTCGGGAAATGACTTGAATCTTATAAACGACATCTTTGTTGAATATTTTGGATGTCAAGAAATCTCGACTTATTTTATTTAGTTTACGGGTTAAAAAATGAGGGCAAAAAGGATGCGGGACCGACCATATGATACCCTACACAAATGCCATAAAAACTAACTTTCGCGATATTTGCACCCCCTTGACCGATTATAAGTCAACAGCCCAATTTTCAAACTTTTTCATATTTCCGCCAAAAAAAATAAATTTTGGTCACTTTTGAATTTGGTTGATTTTAGCCTCGGAATATTGACCGATCATCATCTACATCAATTTTAAATATTTGCTCAGAACCCCTTTACCGTGTAAAATATGGAGATACAAACAAATCTGACAAAAAATAAAGTTTTCAGTTCATTGCAACCCTAAATATCATCTGAACATCACCGATAATTATAGACGTCGTCCTTGACCATAACCGGAACTTCATGGAAAATCTAAAAGCGATCAGCGTTATATTTACGCCCTCTAGTGAGGTAATGGGTTACTAAAGGTAAGGTCAAACTAGGCCAATATTTGACTCAAATGTCTTTTATTTTGTTTGCCCAAAAAACGTCAAATTTGTGCACTCCTGATTTTGTGTTCGCATTGCACTCAAATATTTGACATATTTTGCTTGCTCCAACAGCAGACAAATAGTGTCAAAAAACGAAATGGGAAAACATGTTTGACGTGTGGTCACATTTGAGCAAATATATATACTATAAAACAGTTTAATCAAACTGTCAAAAAAACAAAAAAATATTTGCTCGATATTTTCCAAGAAATTATGGAAGAGGAGGGCGTCAATTATTGTACTGGATGAAGAAAATAAAGTAAAAAAGTATAAGTGTATGTTGTGTTGATAGAGTTCCAGAGATCAAAAAATACCCAACATTTCATTTGTGTTCATTGGTACCGTTGAATGTATTGTTAATGCAAAGTATTTCTGGGCTATCATTTCGACGCCTCCGAACCATAGTATGCTAAGTCGACATAGCATGTTTTAGAGTTCTTTACGTTTTTAGATACTATGGTCCTTAATTTAAATTCTCTGAAAGTTTGGTAATCATCGGTCAATCCAAACCAAAGTTATAAGCAAAAATGTACTTAGCATGGCATGTAAGATTTAAGAAACTTCCATAATTTGAGAGCTTCTACTGAAAAACTTACTTTTCAGACTTAGCATACTATTCTTCGGAGGCGTCGATTTGGCCTACTTAAAGGTGGGTCGCATGCACACATTTTGAAATCTGAAGTTAAAGTAATAAAATTCTTGTATAACTTTTTGTCTTCTAGGAAGTTGGAGAAATACGCCTAGCCAAATTATAAATCGATCAACTACGAGCCATCCAAGAATCTTCTGTGGATTCTGTGCAAAATTTCCCTTCAACTCGTTGTTCGGAAAGTGGTTATAGTAGTGATATTGATTCAGTCAGTTACAGTCGGGGAGATCCGCGTGGACGTGGACGAAGTCGCAGTGGTGGCGGTAATGGTTGTAGCAATCAACGTGGTGGTGGTGCACAGCAGCAACAAAATCAATAAGAAGAAAATAAAACACATTATATAATACAAACGCAAAATATAATTTCATGAAATTTTGAAATAAAACCAATAAAAACATATTTTTAATAATGGTACATATTATAAAATAAGAAAGAAAACAACAAGAAACTATATAATAATAAATACAAGCGGTCAAACGCTGACAACAATGTACGCATCAGCTGTTATTTTCCTCTGTTTGCTCTTACAAAAATATTGTAAGGGCAAATAAATATTGTAAGGCAAATGTTTGCTAGTCGGCGTTCACATTGTGGGCAAATCACGCAAAATTTTATTTGCTGTCAAATTATTTTGTTTGTTCAAAATCAGCTGTTTTTGTGTTTGCCATTGACAATATTTTGTGGTCAGATTATGGCAAAGAAATATTTGAAACTCTTGTCAAATATTTGCCTAGTGTGACCTTACCTTAAGTAATGTATGATTACTTAAGCACCTGTAAATATTTAGGTGTAACTCCCACATCAGAGTACATACAACCACATAATTGCTATCAAATTAAAGGTCAACCACTCCTCTTTGATATACTGTCAACTTCTCGGGTATATGTCCTTCATGAATAAATATATAAGGCATAGAATACAAATTTTGTCTTTTTTTACACAAAAGTCAGGGTCCATTTGACCCGCTAAATATTGACGAATCTTCGTCATGTCATGTTTATTCTTTGGGCCGATCCCCTTCTCCATGTAAAAATTTACGATGTTTGGGCCACAATTGCGGCCTCTGGAGCGACAAAAAAAACGACAATAATTAAGTATTTGGTCAATTTCATCCCCTAAATATTAACCGATATTTACTAAAAACAATAGGGTCTTTATTGGCCAGAACCCATCATCGTTATTAAATAAATTAATATTAACATAGAACAAATATTATGAGAAATCTTTTTTACACATGCATTTTGC